ACACACCCATAGTGTTTATAATGATCAACTCCCCACATACAACAACAACAACATTACCCCAGGTTGGATTCGGGGAGGGTAGAGTGTACGCAAAACTCATCTCTATCTCGTGGAGGTAGAGAGGCTTTTTCCGGAGGACCTAGGCTCGAGTACAACAAATAAAAGTATGTATGAAAAGGAAAAACAAATAAAAGTATGTGAAGGAAACATAGCAACTAATTAAAGGAAACAGTTACATCAACGAAATAGTCCAATAACCGAAAACATTACTAACTTCAGTGAAAACAGATATAGTAAACCAAAGCTTGAGTAAATACTCATTGGTAGAGTAGCCAAATCAATACACATATCTTTGTGTATGTTTCAGAAGAAAGTATAAAAATTCATAATTATCAGGCATAGTTACTCTGTTTATCAAACCTAACACATATATATGACTTTTAACTTGATATTACCCAGCTAACCAACATTTCTGTTTTTGTTTGTTCCACTTTGATCTTCATTGTAGGACTGAGTTGAGATTTATAGAGAAACTTGTGAAAGTTACTGAGAATAAAGTAAACCGTTCAATCCTCAGTGTTGCTCCTTACCTAATTGGTATGAATTTTTGGGTTAACGATATTTGCTTGTGGTTGCAACATAAAGCAGACGATGTTGGTATTTGGGGCATTTGTGGTATGGGTGGTATAGGGAAGACAACAATCGCCAAATATATATGCATTTAACTCTAACTTTGAAAGAAGCAGCTTCCTCTACAATGTTAGAGATTTTTCCGAGTCTACCGATGGACTAATTGACATTCAAAGTGTTGAAGATGGAATCAATCAGATCAAAAGTGATATTTATAGTAAATGGGTTCTCGTTGTGCTGGATGATGTTGATGAAGTGGACTGCTATCATAGGAATGCGAGATTGCTTTTATTCAGGTAGTAAAATTATAGTGATCACAACTCGGCACATAGAGTTACTAAGGGCTTGTAAAATTGAATTGATTGATCATGTTCAGAAACTGAATATAGGCGAATCAGTTGAACTATTTAGTTGGCATGCATTCGGACAAGACCATCCAGTTGAGAATTACACCAAGTTCTTGACAAGGATCATAGAATACTGTATTGGATGCATGTCCTCTAGCTTTACAAGTTTTGGGTTCTTCTCTCTCTTGTAAAAGCTTAGATGTATGGGAAAGTACACTGAAGAAACTAGAGGTAATTCCTATTAGTCAATTATCCAAGAAACTGCAAATTAGTTTTGAGTTTATACAAGATGATCATGACAAAAGCCTATTCCTTGACATTGCCTGCTTCTTTCTTGGAAAGAATGTAGACCATATTGTCATTATACTTGATGCATGTGGATATTATTCAATGGTTGGGATTCAGAATCTCCAAGATAGATTCTTGTCGATAATTGATGAATATGGAAAACTGAGGATGCATCCATTAGTTAGAGATATGGGACGAGAAATTATACTCCAAGAATCACCTAAGCATCCTGAAAGACGGAGTAGATTGTGGCATTTCAAGGACTCATTTAAAGTTCTGAGAGAAAAAAATGTAAGATCCATTATTTTTGCTGTTACATTTACTTTCGCAAATCTAGTTTTATGTTCTATCTTTCACTAATGAGTAATCTTTTCATCAGGCTTCAGATATGATTCAAGGCCTGAACCTTAGGTCTTGTGCACACAAAGATAAGCCACCAAGATTCTTCTATATATCATCCAACAGCAAAAGAGTACTTGCAGGAATGTGCCTACTTAATAAGGAAAACAAGGCTGTCACGCCAAAATGATCAATCAAGGCAACCACAGCCTCGTAAAGTTAGCCTTTATGGTTCCTCAATAGAATCAAATGGAAAATCAAAGAAGGTGGACAGCGTTAACACTGATGCATTTTTTGGTATGGACAAATTAAGACTGCTGCAACTTGACAATTTAACGGTTAAAGGAAATTACAAGGAGTTCCCAAAGTCATTGAGGTGGTTGTGTTGGCACAAATTTCCATATAAATGTTTACCTGATGGCTTACCTATGGAGAAACTGGTGGCCCTGGAAATGAGCTACAGTAAGTTGCATCATCTTTTTGAAGGAAACAAGGTAAATATGGCACTCTCTCTTAAGCTTTTATTTTTTAAAACCAAAATATATTTAGCAAACAATATTAAATTAATTAAGCACAAACTCCATAGCGGAAGTTGTTATATTCTATTAATAATCCCGCCTACTGGTTCTGCAGAACATAGCTGACTGAACATCTGGTTTCTGAAGTGACTTCCTAGTCTACAGAATGTTAGCAATCAGTTTACATTTATGTACTTGTCTGCTTTTAGGAGATAAATTTAGTCACTTCCACGTCTAAGATTCAACATTCTTATGTATTTTTTTTGAGTAACAAGCCCCTTATGATTTGTTTTTTTTTTTGTCTTACAGCTTCTCAGTGCATTAAAGATTCTGAATCTGAGTCATTCAGAAGGTCTGTCCTATACCCCTGACTTTTCAAAGCTCCCAAATCTTGAGAGGATAATTCTCAAGTACTGCACTAGGTTGACTCAGATTGATAAATCGATTGGGGGACTAAAGAGACTCCACATTTTGAACCTAAGAGGCTGCCAAAGTCTATGGAGGCTTCCCAGATGTATTAGTAATCTTCATTCCCTCGAGAAGCTTATTCTGTATGGTTGCTCAAAAATTGTATGGTCTTTATTAGAGCTGGGTAAAATGCATTCATTGCTAGAGCTTGATGCCTGCCGGTGGAACTGCTAACCATCAAGTTTCCACTTCTGTAAGTAAGAAGCATTTACTGAGTTTAGATCTGTGCACTTTAGTCTCAAGCCCGAGAAAATCTCCTGGAATTGTTAACCTATTAACTACAGTATCTCAGCATTAGTAACCTTAAGTCTTATTGGATGTGGTCTATCTAGTGATTTGATTCCAGTGGAGCTTGGTGATTTCTCCACACTGCAGAACTTGTTTTTAAGTAAGAATCCAATTCATAGCTTACCAGATAGCATCAAGGGGCTTACCAGTCTCCAGGTACTTGAGTTAGATAAATGCGAAGAACTTAAATATCTTCCAGAGATCCCAGCCAGTGTGACAACCTTGAGTTTACATGGATGCAGATCACTTGAGCGGTTATCAAATTTACCAAACATATTGACAACATTGAATTTTCTTGCAACAAACTAATTGAGGTTCAGGAAATGTTCCAGCTAAAATATATTTCTTTATTTGATGATGACTTAATCAGCGTTCTGGGTTTACCCAACTTGACGTTCTTGAGTGACACTATATACAACAACCTGACTCTTACAAGATGGAAATGTCCTATACAGGTATGCTCTCCTACTAGTCCCCATTTATATGTGGCAACTAGGAAGCGTTTTGCACCAGGCTGCCCTTTTTTAACTAGGAAACTTTTTGGTTAAGAAACATGAGTTTCTTGCTCCTATCACACTAATAGGGGAAGCAAGATATAACTGATGTATATTTGTGAATAATATGCAGGGCCTCTATGAATTTGGCATATTCAGTACTTCTGTCCATGGAAGTGAGCTGGTTAAGCTACAATGCTAAAGGGTCGTCCTCAATCAGTTTTGATGTGCCTAATCATGACATTCAGGGTTTAAACTTATATGTTATCTATGGAAAGGCCAGCATAGCTTATTGTACAAGGAGAAATAAATATTTTGGAATGAGTTTCATGTTAGAGTGGTAAATAAGACCAAGGATCTGAGATGGACATACAGTCCAATAATTCATGGTATTCCAGATAATGATGAAGATCTCACATGGCTATGCCATTGGGAAATAGGAGATAATTACTTGGATCCTGGAGACTCTATGAGCATTTCAATGACTCTATATTCTGGTGTTCAATTGAAGGAATTTGGCGTCCACATTGTGTATAAGCAGAATAAGAACAATTTGAGATGTAACACATCATCTCCTCCTGCACACCATCTCATTAATGGGGTGGATAACTCTGCATATATATCAGGTTCAAGGCTCCTACTTCCTCTGTCATCATTACTTTGATATTCAGCAAAATTATTTCACTTATGGCTGGAATTCAACGGGCTGGTATGACTTCTTCTTTGGTGATAATTCTGATCAAGATATTCCCGAGGAATTAAATGGTTCCCCGTCACATTGCAGATATGACCAGCGAGAATGTCTATGGACTTGTATCTGGAGTGGAGGATGATAAAACATGGCGATTGCCATGATGCTGGATTGCTGGTGTGGAACGCTAAGGTTTTCTAAATCATGATATGATCCAGTACCATTCATTATTTTTATGCAAAGGGGAAGAGGTGAAAATTTAGATAGTCAACCAATTGAGGCTACGTACTATGCATGATTTCCTGCCATTCATTATATATTGTCAATATGAGACACCATGAAAGAGTGCAGGTTTCCAAAAGTTCCATGTCTTTCTCCATAGGCATCATTATACCATCTCTGTAAAATACTAATATGCTTGTTGCTTAGTTAAAGGGACTAATCTAATGTAGTTTGTCCCTTGCAAGTCTTCTTTAAAAGTTTCTTTGACGAAAGAAGGCGGACAGGGCAATCAAAAAACAAAATCTTGAGTCTTGCCCTTCCTTGCACGAGAATTTCTATCCTCCATTTTCATCCTGCTTAAACTGGCTTAGCAGGATTTTTAGAGTAACCCTCATCTATTTTCTCCACTGAGGAAAATAATACACACTGAAATAATTAGGGTCGTGTAACACCTTTTTGTTTTGGGTCAACTTCAAATCACCATATCTTTTACAAAATAAAGAGTTAGGTGGCCCATGAGGTATCAAATCGAAGGTCCTCTTTCCAACACCGCCAAATTTGCTGAATTCCAAGCTCCGAGTAAAAAGTTATGGTTGTTTGAGTAAATCGAAGGTCTTCTTCTCTTTATATTATGAGCTTATATTTTATAACATGATTAATAGTTATTGTGGTACCGTCCCTTTTACTTTTACTTTTACTTTTAAAACTATAATCCAAAACAACTTTATATTAATTCATATTGATAAATATTAAGCTCGTGCTCGCCCATGTAATTATCATCTCTAGTTGATGAAACAAGAACCAAAAGGTACTAATAAGTCAACTATTACATATGCATTAATCCCTATTGATTAATATAACTCTCAATCATTGAACAATGGTTTTTTAATATTGTTTTGCCACATATTTAATCGACTCTTTGCTTGCTCCACCTGAGAAATTATAGGAACATGTTAGTCAACAATCAAGATGTCTGTTTTCAAACTTACCTAAACTATTTAGCCAAAAGCAAAATACAACAAGAATTAAGAAGGCTTGGTAATTTATATACTTTAAATTCATATTAAGGTTACACTCTGTTTGGATCATTGTTATTCATTGTATTGTATTGTTATCATAACTATAATGTTTGTTTTGATTGTTACTTAAAATGTATTGTATTGTATTGTTAAATTTCATTGTTACGTAACAATGAAAACCCCCATTTTATGGAACAACCGATTTGGTGTGTTCCCATTGTTACTTAATTTCTTTTTTCAATTATATTCTTACATAATATTTCATAATATTATTTTACCATTTACCCTATATTATTTAATTCTAGTCAAACCTCCTACCCTAGAATAATTAAGGATATTTTAGTAAATTTATAAATTACAATACAATACAATACAATCAAACACACAATAAAAATGTTATTAAACAACAACAAACAATACAGTCTAGTCAAACATTGTATCTACCATACAGTACAATACAATAGAGTACAATACATTACAGTACATTATGAAACAATTAATAACAATGATCCAAATAGAGTGTTAAAGTTTTATTCAAATGATATTCCATGATCGAAAATTAGCACTACTAGGTGTTGTTTGGCCAAAAATATATTTTAGAAAAAAATAAAAATTAGTTTTTGACCATATAATTTGTCATTATTTGGCAAATATATTTGGCAAACATCTCAAGTTCCCTAGTTTTAGAAAGAAAAAAAAACTAAAAATTGGGCCAAATTCTAGTATTTTGGCAATTTTAAAAATTACCCCAAATTTTTATATTCTATAAAAATATCCATCATTTATAATTTTGGATTACATTTCAGTCCTACTTTGTTGTATAAAATTTATACTGTTATATACCTATTTTATGCCATTTTTATCTGAGTTTGCTCTCCGACATCACTTCCAATTGCCAGTTGTAATAATAATGGTATTTTCCTTTTGTTTTCTTCCTCTCTTTTTTTTCAAATTCATATAAATTATGTTCGTTGTCATGACTTTTCACGAAATATTTCATTATAAAATGATAATACAAACTTATGGATATTTTAAATAATTTTTAGAACTTATAGATATAAATCATATTTATTTTTTAAAAAGTTAAATATTTTTCCCAAAATCTATGATCAAGTGCATGATGAAACTTCACCCAAAAATAACTTGCCTAAAATATTTGGAAAATTGTGGCCAATCGCTAGCTTAGTATAAATTTTTGGAGAAATTAGGTTTTAGAATATTTAATTTTTGAAAATCAGTTTTAAATGAACTCAAAAGATTTGAAAATATGTTTAAAAATCTTGGAAAAAGTTCAAAAAAAAATTTCAAAATTACTCAAACAACTTACCTCTTTCTCCCAATCGGTTCGAAAGGTGACCCACAATAATATGATAGTCTGCATAGCTGTTCCTCCTAACATTCCCAACCATATTCCCTTCACAATTAACCAAAACAATATTAATAACATCAGAATTGACTATAACTATAAATTTAATAATTAAATTTGTTATAACTTTTAAAAAAACATATATACTGTATACAAATTATAAAAAGGTAAAGTAAATATTATATATACCTTGGCTTCAAGGTTGAAATAAAATCCAAGAACAATACCCAATGGAATGCCAACAACGTAGTAACATCCAACGTTAACGTAGGCCACAAATGCTTGCCATCCACATCCAACAGCAACCCCTTCAAATATTTTCATATATTAGTATTATTTTATTCCAATAATTGATGATAACAAATAGTAATATAGTACTATATTGTTAGGTTAGTCATGTATATCCCTTCGCTAAAAAAAAAAAAACAAATCTATCCTTTATGATAATCTAATAAATTCATCAACTCTAATATAATTATAAATAGTTTAAACATGCAAAGAGTTCAGTCCAACAATTAACAAACATATCTTAAGTGAACAAATTAAAGTCACATGCGTGAGTGAGTAAAACATACTCTGTCTACTTATCTTAAATAATAAAATTTGTCATAAAGTCCACAGAGCACATCTCGAGATTGATGTCATGATAAAGATTCAAAAAACATTCCAACTTTATTTCGTTGAAAATTGAAATCCCAAGACGAAATTAAATAAAGCTTTGATTCCTCCTAAGAGGGGGTCATAGTCATACTTGAAATTTTTTTTATTCCAAAGATCTTATGGATTTAACTGATATTTATTTTTTCGATTTGATTTTTACTTATTCATTATATTAAAAATAAATATTCATTTTTTACTTGTTTAGTTTAGGAAACTATTTATCCCAATATATTTCTCAAAAACTTTAAATTGTATTATATTCAAGATTGATATATATAGTAAACTATTTATTGCTCCTTAAGAGGTAATACTAGACTAGTAAAGCTGGAATGAAAGTATTATATATCTAGAAAAAGTCATATTTTTTGTTGATTCCATAAAAATATATAATTTTCTAAGATAATTCAGTAATAATCTGTTATTATCAAAAAATAAAAAATTATAGTCTAGTAGATGTAGTAAATGTAAAGAGAGTGAAAGAATAAAAGTAGGAGAGAGAATATAAATGATACCAGATAAAACAGGTTGAACACCATTGAGTATTAGAGATATAGCCAAGAGTGGGGCAAGATCTGAGGCTGCTTCAGCAATGACTTGTCCACCCGTGAAGGCATAACTCATGACATGGCGGAATAATAAAACCAAAATTGCAAACACAACAGAAATCACAAATGAACTCATTGTCACCACTACAACAGAAAATGCTGCTGATTTTGGATGTCCACCTCCCAACTCATTGCTCACTCGAACACTGCATGTATCGAGTTTAGCTTTCATATATCGATAGAAATGTTTAAATAATTACAACATTTATAAATATGTTAATGTAATTAATTAGGATTCTTCATCCTAATCCCAAATTATGTTGATCAAATAGAAGGTTGGCAATCATGCAACACCAAACTTGCATTCATGTAAAGATTATTTTGTGATAGTCCAAAATTTTTTAAAATAATTTTAACTTGTGTATACTGGCAGTAGTGTCCAAAATTATTTAAACAATTAAAATATTTATATAAAATAATTATAAGTTAATCTTTATAAGTGTGTTAATAGCGTAATAAAAATTATAACTAACATGATATGATATATATATATATATATATGTGTGTGTGTAATATAACTAAAAGGGAAAAGGGTTCGGAATATATTCGAATTTTGATCGAAATTGCCGTAATAATCTCAAACTTTGGGCAGACCCTATTATCCCTGCATTATTTAATATTGTATTTTAAATGTATATATGTGCCTACGTGAATAACTTACTATTTCTAATGATGCAACATTTATGATTTGTTATTCTTTTGTGATTTTGTCACATATTTCGATGTAACCTATTTCTTCATATTTTAATTATTGGTTTTGCTATCATATTTTTTTTGGTCTTATCCCTTTCAAATATTGTACTTTGATTGTGCGATTTCTTGGATGATGCATCAAATCAATTCTACTGCCAAGAGATATTTTATTTTTCAATTGTCTTTTAATAGTTATTTTTTTTAACAAATAAACAAGTAAAAGGCAATTAACAGAAAACCATCTACCCCCTTATTAGTCCCATTTTACGTATATGACACAATCTCTATTATTATTTAGAGAGTTTTAAATAAAAAGGCATTGTCTACGATTAAAGGCATTGTCTACGATTTTATCATATGTTTTTATTAAATATTTTAAATTATCAATTTTATTATTGTGCTTTTTAAATTTTTTTATATATTGTTACTAAATATTTCAAATTGTTAATTATTTAAGTTGAACAAATTTGAATTTTGATCTTAAAGGTTTGTTCATAAAGCAAGTAGGGCTCAAAAGTTCAAGATCGTCTATTTCTAAGGTTATTGGGCATAATACTACTGAATACTTCCTTTGTTTCAATTTAAAGCTTTTAAGTTCCTTTTTTAGTTTGTTTCGAAAAATATATCACTATATATGTTTTATAACTTTCATATTATACTAACATCTTTAATCTAGGACAACAGAATTTAGAAGTCCATATAAAAGAAAATAAGTCTCCTCAATTCTTCATTTAACTATGAAATTTAAGTCACTATCACCCATCCTTTTTAAATAAATGACATAATTATAAGGAGATACTTTCGAAAAAACACAAAAATGCTTCAAAAGCTAGTATTCCTCATTTAATCCAGACACCAACACCAGTCACTAGGCCTTTTTAGTATGAATATTGTTAGTTTTAGTAAATTATATGTAAGAACAAAAATATAACTAATTAAAATAACCTATCAAGATTAGTCAAACAACAAATTGGCAATTTGGCATGACATATCCTTTCTAAGAACTATACCATTATATACCCCTAATGTGGTCCAAACTTTTGACAACACAAGAAACAATTCCTAGCACATTTATTTATATTATATCATGGTAAAAATGAAGAATATATAATATCAAGTAAATATTCAGTAATTAATTAATCACTAACCTTGCTGCTGCATTGAACCCAACGGATATCATGAACACCCACCCTAGAATTGTCGTACTGCATCACAAATTAATAATTATCATTATATCAAGAAAAAAGTTCAAGAAATTAGAAATATATAATTAAACAATTTACTACTCCCTCTAATCCATATTAACTAAATTGTCGGAGTATGACATATACCTCTTAAAAAAAATATTTAAGTACACAAATTAAAGACTGGTTTCCACTATTACTTTTTGATTATTTTCAAACTAGTCTCCTAAAAAACGTAAATTAATTAAAAAAAGGACCTCATTAAATGAAGGGTAAATATCGAAAAAACAATTTTTTAAAACTTTGAAAATTCACTTATTTTGAACGGTGAATTAACAGTCTCAAAATGCTAAGACTAGTTTCCACTATTACCCTTTAGATTATTCTCAAACTAGTCTCCTGAAAAACAGTCTCAACAATTCACGTAATATAGACGAGAGAGAGTAATGAATTTGCTAAGTAGACATATTTTACCAAACAGCAAGAGAGTCCAATGCCACTTCAGGATTTGGAAGCAAACCAGCAATTAAAATCAAAATCTGAAAATACCAAGTCTCTAGACATAACATAACAGCTGAAGCAAGTGACAACTTGAAAAAATCCCACAATCCATAAAATGCTTGCATGCTAAATCCACTCCATGTTTTCTTACATCTATCAGTCCACAAAATATACACAAATTGTGCAATCACAACTATCCACCATGAAATACTCAAAACCAAAGCTCCACCAAATAATCCCCAATTAAATACGTAAAGCACTAGCCACGTTAAAGAAAGGTGAAAAATTAATGTAACGGCAGCAATATATGCACTAGGGTTAACAATACTTTGAGCTTGTAAGAATTTTTGGATAGGGAAATTGGCTGCATAAGCAAATATTTGTGGAATTAAACCATAGACAAATAGTGCTGCTGCTGATGCTACTTTCTTGGATTGGCCTAGTAAAATCAAGATTGGCTTAGAAAATAAGTATGCCACCATTAGTGGTATTCCTGTTAACATAAGAAGTATGGTTGATCTTTGGAGATATATTCCTAGCATTTCATACTTGTGACCTCCATATGCTTGACCACATAATGTCTCCACTGCACTTCCCATTCCTAGCTGCTCCAATATATATATAATTTGTTGTAAGTATATATACAATTACTTATAAAGGTGTAATCTATACTATAATCATTTTCATCCCAATATATGCAGGCAGCGGAGTCAGAATTTGAAGTTTATAAGTTTGAAATTCTGATTTTCTAAAGTTATTGAATTTTCCATTTAATTTCTTACTACAAATTCAGGATTTGAACCTATAATCAACACACTGGCTCCACACCTGAATGTATGCGACACATTTTTTTAGTAGATCGCAAAATGAATGTCATATTCTTATAGTTGAAATAACTTAACTTTAAAATTCTGTTTTATATACTTCCTCAGTAGTTTATTTTTACTTGGTCACTGTTTGACTTGACACACCCATTAAGAAAACAATTATTGATATAAGTATTTTACCAAACTAGCCCTATTAGGTCTTGGAAAATGATTTGGAGAATAGAAATTTAATGCTAAGGGTAAAACATAGAAATAAATAATTATTTTTTCTTAATATGTCAAAAGTGATAAGTAAAAATGAAAATCTATTTTAGAAATAAGTGACAAGTAAAAGTGAACTGAAAAAATGTCTAAGATTTGTTCAGATCACAAACTTCAAAAGTTGTTTTTTCCTTTCTTATATTTCGTGCCTAATTAAACGATGTCAGATAAATTAGGGGCGAATAAAAGGGAGTATTACTAATAAATCTTGAGGTTGTAAAACAATATATAAAGGTGAAACAAAATTACCATGACACCATAGGCCAAAAGTTGAATGCCACTATTACCAAGGGAAGCAGCAGCAAGTTCAAGATTTCCAAGATGGCCACAGAAAATTTGTGTAGACATGGAAGTAACATTGTTAAGCAAGTAAACAATGATGGAAGGAGCTGCTAGACGGAACAGATTTCTCAACTCTATTACTGAAGCTCTTCTAAAACGCTGAATACGTGATAAGCTTGTGTCTGATAGGATTTCTTCAAGTTCAGAGCTAATTTGCTCCGCCGCCGCCGCCAATAGTGGTTCTTCTGATTCTAACAAAGGTTCATTTGGCTCCATGTTTCAGTAGGAAGTTTTTGTCAAAAATGTTAAGATAGGTTTTATGAAAGAAGAAAGAATTGGTTTTTGATTTTTATAGAGCAAGTTGAAGTGAAAGCATGATGTAAGCACATGAGTGGAATTGATGCTACTCCGTCGATTCATTTTTACTTGTTCAGTATTGACTTGTCAAACATTTTAAAAAATAATAAATAAAAACAATAAATAAAATGAAGATTTATTATATTACCTTTTTGAATATTAGTTTAAATAATAATAATAATAATAAATTATCTTTTAATTTTCTAGACAAAACATATAAAAGTAAGTATTTACGGAGGGAGAATTATTTTAATGTCCTACTTATTATGTTGAATATTTTATAATGGGAATTTAAATAGGGAGCTTCCAAACATATAGATACTACCAAAAAACTACTATAACAATGTCATGTCAATTTGCGGCCTAATGGTGTGTGTGCACTTACCATAGAGAGGCAGTGAGAATAACAGCTACATTAATTTAAGTAATAAATTTGCACATTCACCTGGACCGTCTGTTTGTCGAAACAACACATTACACATGCATGTATCTCTTGAGAGCCTTCTTTTGGGACTAAATTCAATTAAATCTCCATATACACACACGAGAATTATTAGGTGTTTATACATTTTTAAAAAAAATTAATCTTCACCTTCATTAATCATTGATTATATATTAATGTGCAAGAAGTTACAACACTAACTTATGGAATAATATACATGATCATTGAGATGAGGCTAGTATATAGATGCCTAATCCTACAAAAAAATGGTCTTATTAGTGTAGAAGAAAAGCTTAGCCAATCAAATAAGAGGAGGCGCACGTTAGGTCGGATTCGTCATTCTCCCGGCCAGTGGCGGATCCCGGATTTAGAGTCCGTGGGTGCCAAATAGACTTATCGATTAAATTAATTTTATATTTGATTAAATTATTTGTCTTTTCGATATATATCATAAATCAATCAATAAAATGTAAATAATAAGATATTACACTTTTATTGAGTATTTAATCAAATAAAAGAAAAGTCAAAGGAGTAATAATGTAATTAATTTAATTTAAGTCAATAACAATTATAAAAAAATAAAAATAAAAATTGTGCCAGTGCTTGGAGCCTTTTTTTTTTTCTTAAAAAACGTCTGCATCAAATTTCTCAAAAAAATAGGTACAAATGGGATTTGAACCCGTAACATCAGCTTTCTAAAGTTGCCCTCCTACCATGGCACCACAAGACAATTTTGTTCTGTGGGTGGCACGCTTTATATTTATATAAATATTATATATATATATATATATATATACCTATGTATATATAGAGTTTCCGTAGAAGTTCGGGGGTGGCGTGGCACCCCCAAACCTCTGCATAGATCCGCCACTGCTCCCGGCGCACTATAGCAAGGTTGCGATTGTGGCCGGATTTAACCATGAGCCGGCACCGATTAACCGCCTTACTTTCCAACAATGTTACCCCCGGCGACGGGTATACCAAGAAGACTTCCACCTACAACTTTTGGAAGCTACTTACCACCAGGGTTTCATTCGATATCGGAGGAATCACACAATAGTAGCAGAGAAGAGGAGATACAATTGCAGTTAGTGAAAGAGGAGAATCGAAACCCGGTGATGCGTTGATTACACTTCTCAGATGCAGACACTTCAAATGATCAACCCACGTCGTTAGTAAACCCTGCAAAGGAGAATCGTCGAATTGGTAAGGCTCTGACTTATAAACCGTCATATCTGAAAAACGACATTTCTACCGTCAAAATTGAGTAAGAAGTATCAGAGAACATGCCAAAACTTGGGATCCAACTCTTATAGGATATTTGTTGGGCGATTCCCCTACAGAACAACTAATGAAAAAAATTGCTAAAAGGGTATGGGGCTTTGTCAAAACTCCGAAGAGGCTAATTCATGACGAAGGATACTTTATTTTTAAGTTCTACACAAACAAGGATAAGGAGGAAGTTCTCAAATATGGACCTTACTACTTTAATAATAGACCAGTGATCCTTAAGTAATGGGAGATTGATTTTGACTTTGCTCAGAAGAAGTTGAGCTTAATTCCAATATGGGTGATGTTTCCTGGCTCACCTGTTGGGTATTGGCCAGCTAAGGCTTTGACTAAAGTAGCTAGTGCAGTAGAAATACCTTTGCACACTGATAATGTGACTGCAAATGCTGACAAAATCTCATATGCACGAGTTCTTATAGAGGTTGATTTCTCTCAACCCTTGATTGAGTTGGTGTAGTTGGAGACTCTTTCTGGACCATGGGAGCATCGATGGACTATGACTGGAGGCCAAAGTACTATTATGAATGTCTCGAATTTGGGCATACAGATGATGAGAATTGGTACCAAAAGGAGCAGAAGGCAGATGTTGCAGTTGTAAGGAATGCACCAGAGATTAAAGCCAGAAAAAATCCAGTAAGGTACACGAAACCAACAATGAAGACATGAAGGGAAATAAAAGATAATAAACTCATTCCAGTACCTAATAGCAATACTATGAGCATTGAGACAACTGTGGAGAAACTGAAACTCACAGGTTCTGGGAAGAAGCAACTGAACATAGAAGTAGATGAAGTGCCAACTCTAGAACCTAGAAGAGAACAAGCTAACACAGAGTTTATTGTGTTGAATCAAAGGAGTGGTAAATAAAAGATGATTGAACATGATAGTGCTAGAAAGTTCATGTCATTCAGCCCACCATGATTATTGCAACTTGGAACATTATGGGCCTCAATTAATCCCATAAACAGAAGAAGATTAAGTTCCTTCTGGCCAGGAGGAAGATTGATATTTTTGGATGTCTGGAAACAAGAGTAAAGGAACCTCGTGCTCAAAAAATTATGCAGACCATGGCAAAGGGTTGAAAATCTTACTTTAATTATGCAGCCACACCAAATGATAGAATCTGGTTATTGTGGAGAAACAACATAAATATGACTATCATTAACTGCCAAGATCGGTATATTCATTGTAGTGTAGAGGATCCGAGAAACCAAACTATTCTCTATCTCACTATTGTTTATACTATGAATGATAATCAACATAAGGACAGGTTATGGAATGCACTGACTAAGATTGACTTACAATAGAACTATTATTTGTTACTGAGAGGGGACTTTAATAGTGTCTTAGTACATGAGATAGAGTGGGCTTAATGGTTACAATTGTTGAGGTGAAGGAGTTCAAAGGCTTGTTAGATACCATACAATTGTCCCCCTTAAAAAGTATTGGTTGGCACTATACCTGGTGCAAGAAACAAATGTTTTGGGAGAAGAGTTTATAACAAGATAGACTGGGCACTTGGAAACTAAAACTGGATACAAAAGTTTGGACATGTGGAGGCTGACTTTCTGAATCCTATAGTATCAAATCACTCACCTATTCTCATTAGATGTTGTCCTTAACTAAATTTGCACCCTAGGTCATTTAGACTTTATATGAATGTTATGAAGCACTCTCAATTTCATCAAATCATGAAGTAGGCCTAGACAAGTGTTCACATAGAGTTGCCTTTGCAGAGAGTATGAGCTAAATTGAAAACATTGAAGAGCATGTTGCGCAAGATAAATGATTATATGGCTTGTTATAAACAAAGTCTGACTCTAGCTAGGGAGAATTTCAAATTTGTCCAAGGGAATATCAAAGGGCAAGTACTGGATTATAACATGTTGATTGAACAGGAGAAAAAACTAATTATCGAGGTGGAGAAATGGAGCTCTATCGAGGAGCAGGTGTTTAGACAAGAATCTAGAGCAACTTGGATAAAGAGTGGTGATTATAATACCAAATACCTTCATACATAATGGAAAATTAGATCTAGCCATAATGATATTACTTCTGTGTATACAAAGTGCAATACTAAATTAACTGACCCCCTAGCTATTCATGAAATAGAGTTTATTAAGGTGTTTTCAAGCTTAATGAGGGATAGTGCTACAAAGTTACCATGTGTTAACTCAGAAGTGGTTAAGACAGGTCAGTGTCTCAACCTACAACAACAACAACACAAGATGATCAGATAATTAACTTATGAAGAAATTTATAAAGCTGTCAACAATCCCAGGGGTGGATGAGTTTCCTTTTGAATTTTCACTAGGAACTGGAGATAGTTAAGGAAGATGTGGTAGAGGGTATGCAATATTTCTTCAAAATAGGTGTTATGCACCATGCAATTAACACTATTGTCATTACTTTGATATCAAAGTTGCCAACCCCTACCCATGTCAAAGATTATAGGTCTATAGCATGTTGTTCTGCAATGCATATGTGCACACTACCCAATTTACTACATCTGGGATGAAAGTTGAAATCTCCATTATGTGCAAGCATGTTTAGCTCCCCTCTTAAGTATTCCATTACGAAGACAAAGAGATAAGGAGACATGGTATCTCCTTGTCTCAATCTTTTTTTAGCCTTAAAAGGTGAATTCAAACCCCCATTAATTAGCAAGGAGTATGACACAGTGGACACACATGTCATAATCAAATGTATACATTTACCAGGAAATCCCATATCCACTAGTAGCTTTCTTAAAAAGCTCCAGTCTAAGGTGACATACGCCTTCCTTAGATCAACTTTTAAAACACATCTTGGGGAGACCCACTTTCTAGTGTAGCACTTAAAGATTTCATGGCTGAATAAATTTTTATCTATGATACTTCTTTCCTAAACAAAAGCAAATTAAGCTGGGCCCACTAAGTCAGCAATGATTGTATTCAATCTTCTAGTCAAGCCCTTAGATATAATCTTGTACAGGGGTCATGTAACATGGTGTACAAGACCCTGATATTCCTCATACAAGCCACTTAGCATATCATAACATAAGATAATAGAAAATGATGCGGAAATTTAAAACATTTTTCCAATACGATCAAAGTCTATATAAAACGAAGCGGAAGTCTATAACACTTGTCTCAAACTATCTAAAACATGAATATTCTTGGGACACATCCCATACAATAGTTCTAACATAAAAGAAAGACAAAGGAAACTGGTGGTCAAATCC